TATAGCTATTGTAAAAAAACATATAGGAGATAAATTGTAATATCGGCACAATGCTCCCCCCCCTCCCCCCTGCTAATGGATAATGAAGAAGCGTTAGGCCGTTTTAGAACTATCTCTCCCCCACAAACCCTGGGTGGGAGAATCTCTCCAAGAAAAGGCACGGAGCGTGAGCATTCTCTACCGGGGTCCCCCGGGGGGGGGGGGGCCCGTGGAGGTGCTGGGCTTCCAGCTGCAAAGCCCCTTGGAGCCTCCTGGAGCAAGAACCGGGATGACCGCAAACCCGCGGACTTGAGCGTCCCCCTGTGCCGGCACAGAGCGCGTTCTGAGCGTGGGCGGGGCCCAGCTCCACGCTCCGGCTGTAAAAGGAGAGGGCGATGGAGCCCCGTGCTCAGCCCCACCCATCACAGCCTCATCCAAACCGTCTCGGCCACGTGAAAACGGGGACAGGAAACGACGGAGGTGCCCGTGGCGGCGAGCCCGGCAGCCGGCCCCTCCTGCCTCCCCGCACGGTGCTCCGAGCCCTCACCTCCGGGGCCACGAAGTTGGCGGTGTAGCAGGGCGTCATCAGCAGCCCGTTCTCCGCCCGCAGCTGCTTGGCGAAGCCGAAGTCGCAGATGCGGATGGACTCGGGGTCCCCGGATTCGTCCACGTACAGGATGTTGCTGGGTTTCAGGTCTCGGTGCACCACCTGGAGGGAGGAGTGCGCCGGAGACGGCGGGAGGGACGCGGTCAGAAGACGAGGGCTCCGCTGGCGGGGCCCCCACGACGCCCGGGGCGCTGCAGGTAAGAACCTCAGCCTTCTAACGGCCCTGGGAGCCACCCCTCTGCACCGAGCTCCTCACAGAGCCGTGCCGTCACGGGAGCTGACGGCCAAGTCCTGCTCCGGAGACAGGGACTAACGACGTCAGCTGCGCGTCCACTGACAGCGGAGGGCCCAGAGAGAGGACATCAAAGCACCCGGGCTCGAGCCACCTGGGAAGTCCCTCCGCCTCCGCCGTCTGGGAAGAGGGAAACGTTGCTCCCCCTTCTCTGACACGGTTCCTACCCTGTTCTGTCTTTCTGGCCCAAGTAGGCTCAACCTGATCGTCAAAATTATCTTCTCCAGAATCCAAAAGTTCCATACAAAGAGAGGGTGAAGCGGGGACTCCAGCCGCTGCCAACAACGGGGCAGGCCTGTAGCTAACACCTGCAGATCTGTTACCCAGGGGTTTCCAGGGCTCATGGGCTGACATAGCGTGACGTTACGGACGACGGACCTTCCTCCCCTGACAAGAGAGGGATGGAACTCTCCCAGGGGGAGACGACGGGGTGGGCAGGGAGTCAGTGAGGGGGAGGAGCTGAGGGTGGCCAGCACCCATGCCATGTGCACCTGCCACCTTCCTGCCCATCTGACCCTGCTGTGGACTCGCACGCCCACTCCTCACCATGCCAGGACACCTGCCCAGAGATCACCCTGCAGCCCCCACCCCAGCCCAGCCTCCTTTGCACACGCAGTCAGGCCCTGCCCTGAGCACCACACCTCATCCTATAACAACGACGACCCAGCCTGGGTGGGGCCAGCCCTCCCTCACGAGGTTGCCCACGCTCAGGTCCGAGCGTGCACCACCCCCTGCTTCCCTGCTCAGCTCTGAAGACGAGGAAGCCGACGAAGGTGCCGCTGGGAACTGCTTCCTCTGTCCCCGGCAGGAAGCTGCGCTGTGAGCCCTCCCTCCCCCCTCCCCCACCAGTCCCTCAGGTCCCTGCCTCTCCTGGTGAATGATGACAGGTGCACCTGTCGGTGGTGGGGAGGGGGCAGGTGTATGGGGGCAGCTGCACAAAGGAAAGATCATGGTGGGTCCCAGGAGGGGGCAGGGAGGACTTCGCAGCGGCACGCACCGTCAGCTGTGAGGCTGCGCCCATGGCGGGCACAGACAAAGCACCCGGCTTGTGGGTGCACAGACGCACGGGGGAAACGGACAGGAACTGAGTCCTGGCACAGTCACTCTGCAGTCACACCTGTGCTGCTCAGAGAACGCCCCCTGGGGGCAGGGACAGCTGTCACAGGGGCAGGGGCAGGTTAAAGCCAGGTGCTCATTTGGGGCACAGAGTGAGGTGTCCTGAGGGCACAAAGGGCCGTGATGAGGCCACAGGGAGAGCCTCATGGGGCGTGAAGCCCGGACATCTCCTTCATCCAGCAAGAGTCCAGGCAAGGGGTGGGGGCACCGCTGGGGCACTCCGGTCCCGCAGGTGAGGAGATGGAGGTCTCCGTTCCATCACCTCCCGCGCTGAGTCCAAGCAAATCTGCAAACAGCCAACCACAGGGCTCGTGGGAAAAGCCGCACATGCCCCATGCTCCAAGCCCACAGGGTACCACACGGGGGCGCTACGGGGCGGTCCTGGAGGGAGTCTGCTGCCTGGAGCTGACTGCGTTTTAAGAGTGCCTGACCTGGCTCACACAGCGGGCAGAGGCAGGGCTGCCTGCTCCCTGAGACACGCAGGGAAGAGGAGGAGGACAGGCGCCAGGCATGGGGCCGCCTCTGGGAGGGGCATGGCCTCGGGCAGGACGCGTCTCCCTTCCGTGCTCCGGGACCTCACTGTGCAAGGCAGGCGCCCGGGTCTGGGATTCTGAGTCTGACCCCCTGGGGCACACGAGGGCTGCGTGGACCCTGGCAGCCACTGCCACTCCCACATTGGTTGGCAAATCCGACTTTATCTATCGCAACTGACGGCACAGAGGAACCCACAGAGCCGACCTCAGCGAGGGCCTCGCCGCCCCAGCCTGCTGCTGCCCGAGAGAGAACCCCAGCTCTTGTCCTTCTGCCACGTCTCTAACAGCCTCCTGCGCTCTGTGAAGGGAGCCTGGCTGCCCCTCCGAGCCCCTCCGCTGAGGGCGTGGGGGCCGCGGGTT